TTTTCCAATTTTTTTTTTTTTTTTTTTTTTTATTATTATTATTATATAACTTTAAGGAATTCACTCGGATGTCTCTTGCCTGAAACTGACGTATACGACATCCGTGTTCCGATAACTTCTGTCGTACACATTTAATTTGTTTTTAAAAATATTTATTTTGCTTTATTTTTTTTTTTTCTTTTTTCGTTTTGTACGCCCGTGTCACCGATACGCTCGACGCCGACGCCACGGTGACGACGGGGGTTAGCTTCGAACGCCGGGCGAAAAACTTGATACATACGTGTATCCCGCGAAACCAGAAATAGACGCCACTTGGCAGCATTAGCCTCTCTCGACAAACCCTTCAAGGCTCTGACACACGATACCGTTCGCTTTTCTTTTTTTTTCTTTTTTTTTTACGCCAACGGCTTTATCTGCCAAATAAACTCGAATTCAGCCTCTCGCCAGAGATTCAGGCACGTCGAACGCAGTACGACGAGTTTCTCGTTATTTCAATACGAATTTATTACACGTATATGTACTTGAGTGCGTCCGAATGATTTCGATAAGCCGTTTTCCGTTATTGAATCTTGTAATTTTTCTTTTAACCGGCTCGATACCAATATTCATGGACGTAGTTACGAGCCTTCGGGTGCGCTAGCGAACGCAATTAATTTCCTCATGTAAAATGGCGTCCTTGGATCAAGAATTCATAATTTAATCGATTTCGCATGACGCGTGCGTGTCCGGTTTGAGATTTCGCGTCGCGGCTTTGAAAACATTCCGGGAGAACGGGATGGGACAGGAGGGGACGGGAGAAGCGAACCGAGGGTAATGATATCGACAAGCAGTGACGTCACGTGGCGCCGTGTAGGCGTCTCGTCGTTTCATCCCCTTGATTACTACCCTTCGTTGCCCACGCGTACCCATCGACTGCGTAAACTTTCGGCCCTCCCACGTAACTGTCGTTTCGATAGGTTTTTCTTTTACATCCCCCTTTTTTGCCATCAACCTCATATACGTGGGTTTTCCGCGAAAAGTTAGTTTCTACCAAAAAAAATATCCGAATGATTCAAGAGCCGATACAATTTTTAAACCGTGTCGTACGATACGCCGAAATTTTTTTTTTTTTCAAATTTTCGAGACAATTTTTTTTTTCGAAATTCATATAAACCTTTCGGAAATTGCTTTCGATCGCGCAATGAATACCTGTACGGATTTTCATTAACTTTGCCAGTTGGTAGACTGGACGTCATTAGCGACGTGAAGATCGGCTTAACGGTGCAATCGGGTTAGGCTGTGCCTGAAAATTTGAAATTCCTTTCGAGCAACGTATTTGTCGGCGATCGTTGCGGTTCTCTTGTCGTAATGAATCGTTTTATCCCGGCAGTAAATAAGGTTAAGGTATTCCAGGAGTGGGAAGGTCTCGTCAGCGTGTAAATAGAGCCGACGAAATGTGGATTATTGGGTCGTGGCTCCGAGTGGGCTCTAGTAACGGTGTAATTTTCCGTGGAACGTACCCGTTGCCGGTTGCGGAAATACTCGTTAACGCGTTGCTTTAACGGTCGTCGAGACTCGAGAACTGTGAAAGATTGACCGAGGAGGAAAAGAAAATGAAAAAGAAAGAAAAAAAAAAAGAACGACCAACGCGCACCAGTAGGCACGGAAACAGAAACGCATTAAGGAATAGGAATAGGAATAGGAGGAATGGGAGCAGGAACGGGACCTCCGAGAGTCACGACAGTCAGGCCTTTACTCGTGGCACGGTCAATCACGACGAGCCGTTTTATAAAGAGGCCGATCCGCTTGAAGCTCGGTCGTTCAAGGTCACCTTGTAACAGCTACAAAAAAAGAGATGAACGATCGTCAGCGTTATCGCAGACGTTCGAGGGAACAAAGTTCGCTCTTACTTCGTAAGGAGATGTTTCCATTTCTTATCGAACACCGATAACGACCACGCCACTGCCGAAAATTCGAAATTTAAATTGCCGGCTGTGCGTACGTGACTGCGATCGTGACTGGCGCACACGTCTCCAACGTCAATGGACCGTCGTAGGTATATATGTATATACAGATATATATTATATATGCACCTGTAAGGCCTGTCGTATATTTTAATTTGTTTACAGCTTTACGTTTCCGCGGTTTTAATGTATTTACATACAGTATACCGCGGCTACGAGACATATACGTACCAGGCACACGAGTCACGTGTAGTAGCTGCTAATGTTACGCACACGCGCCATTATACGTAATTAACGCTAGTCCGCTACGAGGTTTTCGTATGTAGCGGGTGTCCGGACAGTTTCGCGTGATCTCATTGCAGGCAGTTATGAGATATTGCGAAATCATTGACGTCATCTTTGTTATTTTTTTAATATTTAATTGTCGATTACTTCCGATGTGTAACAGTTCGGGTTAAATCCAAGTGGAAGGATTACTTACCGTCGCGACGGTTAAGCATCTAAAACGTTACAGCGTATGTAGGTTAGTATCGCAACGGTATATGGTATACTCTTAGCAGGTCTATCGTCACGTGAAACGCGAACGGTATACGAGGTGGTAGAAGAAGATAGCAGAAATACGAAGAGAAAAGAGAAGGAGTCGCCAACCAGTATAATCCGATGCATAACCCAAACAAATTGTAGCCTCCGCACGCCGTCTTGAAAGAAAAACATTGGGCTTTCAGGTAGCGTAGCTGCTCCGGGTACAATGGCGTCGAGAGCACGTTACCGGAGGTGGACAGTTTCTACGGACGTGAAATCGAAGCTCCAATTTACGTGACTTTGTCGATTTTGCAGTCGAACGATTTTAAGTCGCACCGATTGTGACTGCTGATTACGAAAACGTCGGCGCGGCGTCGCGTTCCACGTATTCGGGACACCGGGTACATGGATAGTCGGGCATGTCTTTATTATCAGTATATACTTATGTATCTTGGTACGGAATATTTTCGCGATCGCTGCCAGTGGACGGCGACGCAGTTCCTTCGTGTGTTGGTGGGTTTGCTTGAACCGGCCCGCGTAAGGCGCATGCGCGCTAGTGTCACGTACTCTTTGTCCTCTGTGTGTTTTGCGAACACTCGAGCGGTATGGCTACCTAGTACGTCGTGTGCCGTTCGGTGGGGTCGCGCATGCGCGCCTCGCCGAGACTCGTCTTTTTTCGTTTGGTCTCGTCTCGTGTCGGGTGTCACGCGGAACGCGGAGACACGGCAGGGGGAGGTCGCGTGACGCGGCATCGTGGGTATATAAGCCCAACGGATCCGGCCAAAGTCAGCCACTCACCAATTGGCTCCAACGTCAGCTTTACCCGACTGGCTCGAGTCGAGCGAGACACTATACCTCCCGTCGATTGGCTCGGACGCGTTTCACTCTGTACGAGCGGAGCGTTCTCCTTGCAACGTTGTCATCGTTGCATTGGAAAAGCGGAGTGAACGAAAGGGAGGAAGCGAGAGAAAGAATTTAAGAGGGTGAGATAGAGTGACTGAGAGAGGGAAAGGAAGAAAAAAAAAAGAGAGAGAGAGAGAAAAGACAAATAACACAAAGAGTGTTCAAGCACAGGTGAGAATTTCAAAGCACGTGGCGCAACTGGTGCGACTGGCACGTGGCTTTACGACATTAAGGTCGAACCCGTGCCTTCTTCGAAAAGCTCAATACACGTTACGGTAGGTCGTTAAACGCTGACGCGTAGGAAACGTTGACCCAGGTCTCGTACGGAAGGTGCTGAAATTGGAAAAATCGGGATACGCGTATAGCAACCCTGGAAACCTATATATACACAAACTGAATGAGCACGCGTGTTTGCTTCCGTTGCACATGACACGCGTCGTGGTTAGGTGCGACGTATGGGGAGGCTCTTGTGTGACTCTATTACGAAAATCAGATTTTCGACCTCGACTGTCTGCTATTGCCACTGTCATTACCCTTCAATTGGATTACGATTTTTAACCGGCGCAACTCACGGGTCGACGTATCTTTTACGTCATTCGTATTTCCTCCGACTCCCCCCATCTTCCAACCGTCAACACTGCTCACCATTACTCTACGATATACCGCGAAAATTCAAACTCGACCTAGACAGCAGCCCTCACGACACGCTAGGACGATCCTCGTGAATTCTCGAGCAGATTTATTTTCGACGTACCAAATAACATCGGGGATTGTATCGCTCGGCCAATACGCCTCTGCCAGGCTAATAAAAGACATTACGCAATCGGCATTCGCCGACGGTAATAATAACAGAGTTAGCTGAGGTTGTATCCTTGTCTATCGTATACGAATTGCATGGTAACATCTCCATCAACTTATACACACATATAGGACCGAGCGAAGAGGCGACTTATACCTCCTGTTCCCCTAGTGTCAAGTCTCGAGTCACCGAATCACAGGAGCAAGTATGCTTCGGGTACGTTAATAATAGACGAATAACACGAAATACATGTACATAACGCTCGTAAGAAATTCTTTGACGTTTTTCTATATATACCGGGTGGCATCGGTTCAAAGGATTGCTTGAAAATACACAGACTGCCGTTCATATGCCTATAGAAGGATTTCGTGGGTACTTTTTCTGTTTAATCGATGACTATATAATCAGTATCGACAACAGGGAAACCTTATTGACGTAATTGCTTTAACTAAAAATTATTTTTCTCTCTGTCTCCCCGCTCAGTTGTATTTACCTCGACGTACGTACGACGATGCCTGTTGTCGTCGTCGTTGTTCCTTATCGGTGCTCTTATCGAGAATGGTCCGATGACCGTGGAAACTAGACGTAAACCTTTTTCTCGACATTGCGCTCCGCTTGGCAAACACGGTGACTGACGGGAACCGAAGGACACGCATAATTTTACCTAGAACGTTGTTGGCAGCCGCGCCGACCCAACTTGGGCTTTGTCTACGCAAACAGCCGTCGGGCGTCGCTTGTAAGTTGGACTGGTAGAATTCAAAAATACGTGACGCAACGCACTTGAAACTTCCCCCTCCCCCCTAATGTTTTTCTCTTCGTCTCCTATCTCCCGTCTTCTTAGTTGGCTCTCTTGATTGTATCCACTGCTCTCGCATGTTAATTCTAAAAATACGGCTTTTTTCTCGTGAAACCTAATGTTTAACCTGTCAGCTGGGCATCTACAATGGATATAATTCTTTTTCGAAACCTACTGGAAACGATGACTCTCTCCTTTTAGATTTCTCGGGTTTCTCTTTCGGCTAGTAGTTAATTCTGGAAACGGTCGAAAGATTATTTTTTAACGATCGAAGCCATCTTTCATGTCTGATATAATAATAATGTACAGTTTGTGCTGTTGCGTAACAGTTTATCGAATTCTGCGAGAATGGAATTTTTTCACTTTGTCCTTTTTTCTTTTGATTCTTTATCGCATAAGTGACGTCATTTTTGGACTATACTGTTTCTTTTTTTAATTTTTATGCTTTGAGTCTCTCGATTCAAAGTTCCCGCCGGCTTCTGTCGCACGACGATAACTCTTTGACGATTACGCGTCTTCGGTGAGTGGATCGGCAAATTGTACGTGGAGGAAGTGAAGAAAATAAGAAATTTTAAATTATCCGAGGTCGATTTCTTGGATCTATCCAAATTACAACGTGGGAATAAAAAACTTTTTTTGTCGATTTATTTTCCGAGTACCGTAAATTACGATCTTTTCGACGCGTTTACGATTTCGCCCCGTGTACGTCGGGCTTTGCCACTTCGGAATTCTGCATTAGTAATTCTCATGCATCGTAATCGCGGCCGACGTACTGGAAATCCTTACAAGTCACGGAGAGTTACGGCGAACTGACTATTTTTTTTTTGAACAATCTTTTTTTCAATCGTCTCGCATACGTCGTGTTGACAATTTTATTTTTTTTTTTACATCCGTTATTAAAAATTATCACGTCAAGGGTATTTCCCTTTCTCGGTTTAACTTTTTTTTTTTTTTTTTTTTTTTTTTTTTTTTTTTTTTTTTTTTTTTTTTTTTTTTTTTTTTTTTTTTTCTTTCAAAATTCATACTGTCGTCCGTTGTGGCTACGTCGGAACGTTCGTAACTCACGCCAAGGCCAAACGAGTTCGTTATCTCTCTTGCACAATGGAAAACCAATTCCGACAATGTCCGAGTTCACGGAAACTCACTGTGACTCGTCACAATTCTATCTTCGGATCAGCAATGACCATCCATCGATAATCGATAAACAAACGGTGTGTTTGAGGAGGAGACAAGATAATAAACAAAGAAAAATATTGACCTGACAAAGCCGAGAAAGATATTCAAAATTCATGGTCGGTTTGGAAAAATAAAAAAAATTTTATATATCTTACTTGAAACTTGTAAATAATTAGACAATTTTGTAAAAAAAAAAAAAAAATGATGCTCAAATGTAATTCTAAATCTCAGTATGGGCCACGTCAAAAACAAGTATATTTGGTTAACGATTCCGATAACACTCATGCTCGCAGTTCTGTGTATGTACATATTACATATATATACACATATTCGATACTCTACTAAACTCACCATTTACCGACGTTGACTAGACTGTTCTATCTGTAGGGGGAGGGAGGCAGGGGGGGAAGTCCAAAACAAAATTTTTATTAAAAGAAACCCCAAAACGATAAAACTCGATTAAAATTCAGTGATTTCGAAGTTATTCCGTCAGAACGATAAACGTGTCTGAACGTGCACAGAGATAACGAAATATCACACTTTCGTATTATCTCTCTAACTCGTACAAAGTATAAGGACAGTCGATTGAATTGCTAACTAAGCTCGACATCACTTTGAACTCTTAACCCCGCAAGCCACTGCTCCTCCCGTAGGTTATACTTCCTTTAATTTCCGTTTCCTTTATTTTCATCTTTTCTTCGTCCTCACGTTCTTTCACTTTCACTCCATAGAAATTCATACGAACCCCC